ACGTGAGCGCAGTTCCCAGGGCATCAAAGGGGATCGTAGCACTCTCCACCAATTTGTTATGGCGTTTATTAGCAGGCACACAGTGAGTATACACAATGGCGACAATAACGGCCAAGCACGGACTCTCGGCGCGAGCGGCGTCCTTTTTTGGGTAGACCCACTAGAGAACACTTGAGAGTTTGACCCACTTCAGTGTTCGGCGGCTTCTCTACAATTTGTTATGGCGTTTATTAGCAGGCACACAGCGAGTATACACAATGGCGACAGTAACGGCCAAGCATGGACTCTCAGCGCGAGCGGCGTCTTTTTTTGGGTAGACCCACTAGAGAACACTTGAGAGTTTGACCCACTTCAGTGTTCGGCGGCTTCTCTACAATATATATATATATATATATATATATATGTATATACATCTCTGTTTTTCTTTCTATTTTTAGTTCTCTCTCACTCTCGCAAACATCTTCCAAGGCGAGAGGGACGCGGCAGCGACGAAGTTTGGAAGTTCATGTTAGTATAACTCATCCCCTGATGAAGGGAGGACCCCTCCCGAAACTGTTGGGAAATAAATATATTTATCCTTGTTGACAACGCTCCCGTTGTGCGATATCCCATACCTAAATATATATATATATATATATATATATATATATATATATATATATATATATATATATATAGTGGGAGTAATAATTCAATGGGCCAGTTAGTCTTCGTGATGGTACGGGATATGGCACAGTTTTGGGAGGGGTCCTCCCTTCATCAGGGGATGAGTTAGGACTCATCCCCTGATGAAGGGAGGACCCCTCCCAAAACTGTTGGTGGGAAATAAATATATTTATCCTTGTTGACAACGCTCCCGTTGTGCCATATTCTATATATATATATATATATATATATATATATATATATATATATATATATATATATATATATATATATATATATATATATATATATTTATATATATATATATATATAAGGGAAAGAAGTGTATACCTAAGGGCTCGTTTTTTCGTGTTTTAACACAATATTAATGAGATCTAACAGACAGTAATGCCAAGGAATGTACAGGGGAAGTTATTAGAACCAATGGAATGTAAATAAGAAGAAAGAAAAGTGGATGAAAAAATAACCAGCCGTGAGCAGAAATCGAACCTACGACCTTCGAATAACGCGTTCGATGCTCTAACCACTGAGCTATCACAGTGGCCTTCCCCCCATCCACTTTTTTGGGTTTATATGTGAATTTAGAAGTAGGAGTGACAGTCAACGCCATCTATAAGCCAAACGACGAGTGTGAAAACACTCTTATTCGCATGTTTGGCGTCACGTAGCACGTGAACTTATTATGAGCGGGCAGCTGATCAATTGTCCCTCTTATACAACCTAAACACACCAAGTCTGCCAGTACGAGACCCTCGTTCAATGAAATAAGGGAAAGAAGTGTATACCTAAGGGCTATATATATCTCTATATATATATATATATATATATATATATATATATATATATATATATATATATATATATATATATATATATATATATATATACCACGAATCAACAACATCAATCGCGCCACGAATCAACAACATACTTTCCCGCCATTTCAACATAATCAGGCAAAGCAAACGACTAACTTCTATTTTCGCGAAGCCACCTCACGTGGTGTACCGCAGGGATAAAAATCTGAAAGACATTCTTGTCAGAGCAAAAACAAACACCCCAAAAATTCAATCAGGGTGCCATCCCTGCGGAAAAGCTCGATGCAAGATATGCCCACAGATGGTCACAACACGTTAATCCAAAGCGAACTTCTCGGATTTCAAATTCTGCATAACTGAAAGCCTTAATTGTGACTCCAGTATCGTAATATACATGCTACATTGCAACATCTGCGGACAAGAATATATCGGCCAAATAGACACGCCATTTCGGCTGCGGTTCAATAATCACCGGTACCACGCCACTTCACTGCCGAAGCTACCTTTATTTAGACATCTGCACCTGCCAAACCACAGTTTTGGAAATATCAGCGTATCTCTTTTGCAGTCCGGTTTCTCAAACAGGCACGAGCGCGAACAGCGTGAGGCATATTTTATTTTCAAACTTAGAACATAAGTAGCCGGCATCAACGAGGACCCCAAAAGACTCTCCTGCCTCCGAGAAGTAAGCCAGGAGGAAATTGGTGACAAAGATTGATAGCTGGAGACCATGCTTGTTTTTTCTGACTGACTCGTACGTGTACACTGTCCTTTCTTGTTTTTTTTTTCTTTTTTCCTTTTTTTCTTTTTTTTCACATGCACATACAAAGTGTTTATGTTCGCCTTCCACTTGATGACCATTGAAGGGAAACGGACGAAGATGAAAGGTAAAGAGCCGACCGACCCATTAAGGGAAAACCCTTTCCTTACGCACGTCGTCACGGACTCCTCCCGCCACCGCGGCGACAATCTTGGGTGGCCCGACACACGTCGAGAACTGACCAGCACGGGATAAAAAACTGGATGTGGACGTACACGGACATTTGGTTTCGTTCTCAGTGTTGACAGTGGTTCTTTCTCTTTTTTACTTTCTTTTTTTTCTTTTTTTCGTCTTTTTCTTCTTTTTTTCCTTTCTATTTTTAGTTCTCTCTCACTCTCGCAAACATCTTTCAAGGCGAGAGGGACGCGGCAGCAACGAAGTTTGGAAGTTCATGTTAGTATAACTCATCCCCTGATGAAGGGAGGACCCCCCCCCGAACTGTTGGGAAATAAATATATTTATCCTTGTTGACAATGCTCCCGTCGTGCCATATCCCATACTTTCACGAAGACTAACTGGCCCATTGAATCATTACTCTCAGTACATATATATATATATATATATATATATATATTATATATATATATATATATATATATATATATATATAATATATATATATATATATATATAAGGGAAAGAAGTGTATACCGAATGGCTCACTTTTCTGTGGTTTGACACAATAATAATGAGATCTAACAAACAATAATGCCAAAAAATGTATAGGAGAAGTTATTAGAACCAATGTAAAGTAATAAGAATAAAGAAAATTGGGTGAAAAATAACTTGCCGTGAGCAGGAATCGAACCTAGGACTATATATATATATATATATATATATATATATATATATATATATATATATATATATATATATATATATATATATATATATATATATATATATATATATTACTGTGACGAAAAGGCCGTGCTACGGCTGGCTGAAATGTTAGTAATAGTATTTATCTTTTGTGCACTACCTTTAACTTAATTCAATACAAAATAACCCGAACCTGTTGGATATTTCTTTAATGTCGCATATATATATATATATATATAGTACAAACCAATGCAAAATTGAAAAATTTGGGGGGATATGAACCACTGAACCTCCCTCCTCCCCTGGCCATGCAACTGCTTTCTAAAGAACAAATTTATGATTTATGGTCATTGATCATTAAGTTAGAAATGCATAAGATATGCTGACTTAGCAGAAACGTGTGTGGCTCTATAAATGAGCCAAAGCAGATGCAGTACAACACAATGTAAGCACTAAGAATGTAAGGGAAACAGCCTCAGATGCATTTCATATAGTATACGGGGCGTATGCTTGCATGACAGAAAATTTGACTGCCTATGCCAAGAAGAGCATGCACAATCCCGATTAACCATTGTCAACATCATGCACAGTACATAAGTGCCTGAAGAACAGGAACCAATGAGCCAAGTAGCTTCTTCTAAGTACAGAACAAGGGCATATGCATTGTCCTCTTAATAAATCCAATTAACTTATGGGGATTTACACGCTAAAGCATCTAGTACTTTTTTTTATAAAGCATGCCACAGTGAGAGATCTCCAAATTGATCTGATCACCCTTGTTTATACACGCAGATTTGTGCGTGCATAAATGGCAACACACACACGCACACACACACACTAGACTATCTTTTTAATCAATAGAGATTTTTAAATAAAAATGCTATTACTGTCAGGTCTCTATTGTATTTATAAATAAACAAGTTAATAATGAAAAATTAATGTTTTTGTTAAGTGCTTCCAGCATAACTTTAGGTGCGACACAGGTTGTCTGCATTGAAAAAAGTTTGTGAAGATGACAGAAGCCTGACACTCGTACAACTTTTATGAAAAATCTGCTCTCTGTAAAAAGAGCACCCTGTGCATATTCAAGCAAAGCTTGTTATGAGTTACAGATTTACGTAGTAGCAGCGACACTGCAAGTGAAAAACTTAGTGTTAATGAGTGTATATAAATGTGGCTCTTGATGGTGAGTCGGCCACATGTGTATTTGCAAATGCTCTTTTACAATAAATAATGCTCTCTTGATTATGGGCTCAACGGTGATTAGTCATTTCCGACATGTGATGTCTGACATGTGATGACATTCGATGTCTTATTGAGGTCACATGTCATTTCACACACACACATGTCCACGTATGTGTACAAGACACAGCAAAAACCATTCCATTTACTGCCAATTTTGCCTCTAACTGTCAATAACTAACCAATCACTTCGCATGGCAATGATACCCACAGTCTGTCATTAACATCGCTATTGCAAGTACAAGTGCTTGGTCAGGTGGCTTTTTTCATATTTCGTGGGTTTTCTTTGCAACATAAAAAAAAAAGATGACGTGAGACACACTGTGCAAGAAAAAAAAATGAGCGGTTTTTAGATCTGCCTTTACTCTGCCTTTATACTTACTTATGGTTTTTAGCCAATAATTAAAAGGTTAGTCAAATAAACATAATTATTGGGTTAGTTAAGGTGAAAATAAAAATAAGCAGGGTGTCTATAGGACAGTGCAAACAGTGAGCAAATAGTAGGACAAAAAGAACTAATCACAAAGGATAAAAGATTTTCTCCTAACACGTACAACAGAGTCAACCAATCTGACCTTTGGCAAACAACTTCACAACATAATGAGAATGACCACTGCTGATGTATTACTCACATGAACATCAGAGAGTTTTCCATGAAGACTGTCTTCCATTCCAAATGTGACAATGACGGGAGATGATACACCAGAATACTCCAAAAAGACTTCGTACTGAATTATGCACGTGTTTTCAGGGATAATCAACGCCTGCAAGCAAAAAAGAAAATGGGGCACCAGGATCAGGCATGGACACAATAACATGCAATGCAAAAATATTAACTAAAAGCAGTAAGTCAAGCTACCAGTAGTAACCACATATATCAAATTGAGTGCACCAAAACAATCCAGCCACATGTTAATGAAAATAACACTTGAGGATGCCATTTTTTAAATTATATTATGGCAGCCATTGAAATAAGAAGCTCATATTTATTAGCGTCACATTCATTCTTTATTCCACTGGTTTTGATAATAAACATCAAACCAGGAAAATGCCCAATACTTTTGAGAGGGGCACGAGTAATCAGAGATCTAAGGATCTTACCTGAGTGTCTAGGTTCACTGTCAGCCCATTTATATAGCAATTCTCGCCAATGACCACCTCACGTGCCTCCAAGCAGCAGTTTTTCAACACTGAGTGGCTTCCGATGAAGCATTTACCACTCTTTACAAAGGTATTCATGAGAACAGCACTGTCGCCAAGTGCTTTTTCATCAACCTAGAGCAAAAGATTTAGTTGTACCAACACTATAGCACGGAAGGCAAAGAGGAAAGTTTGTTGCTATTACATCACACAAGACACGATGTCACACTTATAGAAATTTCAAAAGGTCAAGCATTTTGAAGTTTGAAGAAATGGGCACTCAAGAAACAAAACTGGAGAAATCACTTGAAACATGAATCACATAACATGAAAATCATGACATGGATGTCATAAATGTCATGATTTACATATCATGGTCCTGCAGCTCTTGCGGTGGTTTCGTTCACATGGCATGTTGCAAAACTAGTATGGTATGACATAATTGCATGGCAAACACAAGTGACAGATCTTAACGTAAAAATCATGACATGCGTGTCATGTAACAACATGACTACATGCCACGCTCAGGATGCACTGGCGGCTGTTTCACTAGCTTCACTTATACCGAATTTGGTATTATGGGACATGAATGGATGACGAAGGTATGATACTGATGCAAACGTGATAAACATGAGATGCGTGTCATGTAACGACATGACGACATGCTACGCTCATGATGCGCTCGCGACCGTTTCGTTAGCTTCACATGTACCAAACTCGGTATTACGCGACGCGAACGGACGACATAGGTAAATGACACATCCAAACATGATAATCATGACATGCACGTCGTGTAACAATATAATTACATGCCACACTCATGATGCGCTCGCGGCCATTTCACTGGCTTCACATATCCCAAATTTGGTGCTACGTGATGCCAATAGATGACGAAGGAATGTGACTGGCGCAAACATAATAATAATGAGATGCGTGTCTTGTGAGAACATGACTACATGCCACAGTCAAGACGCCAATACATTTGGACATGACATAGTGCGCGTGCTCGCCGGTGTTCATTTCGTCGTGTCACGCCGGCGTTGCCACGCCAGGCGCAGGTTCTGCCATATACCCACAGGCGCGTACCGCGCCGCGTTGCTTTCATGCATGCGCATTTTAGCACGCCCGGCGTCCCTCTGTCATGAAGAGGGAGACGCAGTGTTGTCTTTGTAACACATCGGTATAAAGTAATGTTACTCTATGGCATCGGCACGAAATGCAGCATGTCGCATTTCGCCCAGATTGACGCTGGTCGTCGATGGACGCTGGTCGCGCCTGGTGTCATACTATAGAGTGCTTGCGTTTTGCTAGCGTAGCGTCGCTGTGCCCAGCGTTCGCGCCCATCAAAGCTACATAGGAGTATCTTAGGCCTTTCATGATGCGCTCGCGGTCGTTTTGCTAGCCTCACATATACCAAATTTGGTGTTACGTGACGTCAATTAATGACGAAATATATGACTGGTGCAAACATGATAATCCTGACACGCGTGTAATGTAAAAGCATGACAATATACCACGCTCATAGCGTGCTCCCGGCCATTTCGCTAGCTCCACATATACTAAATTTATATCCCGTGACGTGAATAGATGACAAAGATAAACGACACATAAAAACATGATAAACATCACACGGATGTCATGTACGGCATCATTTACCTCCTCATCGTAACGTTGTGCAGATTTTAAAGTGACATATAACATTTCTCATTCATGCTTCGCATATCATCAATTCCCACTGTACGTGGGATCTACCAACTTTTTTTTTATTCGTCCTCGTCGAAGAGTAACGGTAGTGAATACACGATCATTCAATGAAGTATTTCATTATGCACAGCTCTTCCACTGCCATCTTTATTTTCATTTTTGACCGAGCAAAGGGTCCCCCTACATATTTTTTTCGGATTATTTTCCCTGCAGGAGGCACATGTGCTCTGGATTTTATGATCGTACATTATACAGTATTTTAAGATGGTCCCATACAACAGCACAACTGCACTGTAAGTACGTGCGCACATATCAGCTATGGCTATCAAGTTTTTGTCATAAACGACTGGAGCCGCCTTGTCATAACTTGTACTAGCTATATTGTAGCAGAACAGCCATGTGAGCTAGTTGGCAACGATTTATTTCAAATGCAAAAAGTAGGGCCTGGTACAGAACAGGGTTCATTCTCTTCTCTTGTTTTGTGCCCCTCATTTTACATTTATACTAGCTGCCTAGTGTAGCTGCATTTACTTGTATGCACTGACAACACAGCAACATCGCTCAAAACTGCCACAAATGTTATATATACCGATCAGAGACAACGTTTGATGGTTTCAGGCCATGAACTGTATCAGCCTAAATTTTATGATATATGAGGTTTTAACAAGCAACATTAGATGCACAAGATCAGCCTTATCTGATTGCTCAAGATATCATAGATACCACATTGAGCTTAGCAAAAAGGAATCACTGACAAAAGCAAATAAGTGCATGAGCTCACATCTAAAGCAGCATGAAGAAGCCAATCGTTGCCTGCACGGCTAATAAGGAAGTCAGAATGTTGACGGGCAGTAGTGTCATTGGACAAGTAGTGGTGACTTGGCTGGCCTTTCAAAACATCTGATGAGATGAAAGCATAGTGAAAATTAAAAACATTAGATAATCATCATCACTTATATTAAAGGCCCTGTCAAAGTATTACATACAGGGGAGGGTGACAAAGGCATGAATGACAAATTACATAAGCTTGTATGTGCTCTAAAACTGTATGTTGAATATGAGTTGTAATGTGCCCAGCTAAGGCCAGAGTAGTGCACTTGAGGAAAAAAATTGTAGAGGTTTTATGATTCTAGCAATGCACAAATGCCCTGCTTTCTGCCGCATGCTCTTTAAGCTGGCCTGCTGAATCAGCACCACTATGGTATAACATGAAAAAAAAAAACGAAACAAAACATAAAACAGCTACAAAGCTAACGTAGGGTTCCATTGTGACAAAACACGCCGTACTAGGGGCAAAGGACTGTCCGCAATTCTTGGCATGCAAGTGCATAGTGACTCCAATATGAAAGAAAGCATGGGGTTTTGCACTATGCTGGAATGACGCACTTCTCTCAAATTTTTTTTTTTTTCCTCTAAAGTGAATCCCACATGCATGGCTTATGCATTCCACGTACATGATGTGTTAGTACACAGTCACTTATCCACTCACCTCAAAATAACAAATGCTGAAAACATGACGGCATGCTTCACTTCAAAAATGTTAAATAAAGACTGGATATACTTAGACAATGTACAGAAGTACCTAAGTCGTACAAACCAGCGCCACAAACCTAAAGCCATGACACGTGCCCGGTATACATTTCTGCTCCGAGTGGTGGGTTGCTGATAAAGAACAATGTGATAAGTAAAGAAACAATCTCTGTCAATACAGAATAAATATAGAGCGCTTGACGGTCCAAATCACCTGCTTGTTCTACAAAACGTTGTAACTTCTGTACAACCACAAATTCTCCAATCTGAAGAAGCACACACCTTGCATGCCTTAGAAGACATTACACATATTGTCTTCAGAGCTATCTATTTGAAAGCTGTCATGCAAGACAGATGTGAGCAAGCCTTCAATGAGACAGCCCTTACTGGGTTTACTTTTGCTGCTGTCACACACAGCATAGCATACATATATATTATATTTTGCTTCATCAACTCGCAAAATCTGAATAAAGCAGTGCAATATGAACACTGGTGGAAAAAAGTAAGGGGGTAGTTTAAGGCACCTACGCCAACATTGAAGTTATCATATTTCAAACATTGAGAATGAACAAGCACTGTGGTATGGTGGATTCTGAGATGGGTCTGGTGTGTTGGCTTTTGTCAACATCCAAAGAAACTACTCAAGACGACTGTGGTACAGTGGTTAGAATATGGAGCTTCAAAAATGGACAATCACCCATTCTATCCAAGGTTGGACATCCCCCTTTCGTCGAATGCCGCTTTTCCCAAGCCAAAGAGTAGTGAAAAAATCGATACAGTAACTGATATTCTGTAATAACCCGCAACTGTGGGTTTTGGAGGCAAATAAACTGAACTGAATAACAGGCCACTTCCTAGCTCATGCCTACTCTTTGCAGTAATAGAGTGAAGGAAGCAACTTGCCAGAAAGAAACCAGAGCCTGCCACTCTATACATGCAATAAGAGCAGATCGTGCCATTTACTGGTGATATATGCTATTATAAATATCTTTTGCCTAAGTTTTCAATCTAAAACACGCAACCTTGGCACAGCAGTATATGTGTATCACTGGCAGAAAAATTAGAAAACGTTTTATGAGATCAAGTGCATTTATTGGGAAAAAACATTAGGCAAAGCTGTTTCAAAATACTATATCAATTGACATGCATTAAAAAGAGACGCATCATGCACGCAAATTCATTTCCAAATGTACGTGAGAAATTGGTCATGCTCTCCGTTAATCCCACATGCTTTGTGTTATTTGGCTTCATGGTAACCTGTTTGTGCAATTGCTTGTGATCTGCACCACATTTTCCACCATAATGAATATCACATGTGCCTGCTTGTAAAAGTAGCACTTTTTAACTGAAAATTTTTCAATCATATCACATAGATGCAGATGTTATGCACTTCCACAATGAAAGTGTATCCTTGCCCATGATGATATATGGTGTTTTTTGGCGCAAGGGCCATTTGATGGCCAAAGAGCGCCAGTTCATGAGACAGGAATGTGGACAATGGTTGTGATTAGCGGCTGTATAGGGGCCATAAAATTCCTCACAGTAAAGCGGGTAAAACATACAAGTAATAAAATCATGAGTATGCCGTGAAAGGTGTGCATGGTGTGAATAGGTGACAAAAGTTGGTGATAATGAAAAACGATGGTGGACATGTATGGCATTAGCACAAGTACCTCACACGTTAGTACCCTTGCGTGCAAGGGTCGTGAGGCAAGTGCTTTCCTGTGTAGCCACCGCAGCAAAAACCTCTCTAGAGAGGTCATGCTACGGTATGCCCGGGTATATGATATGAAAATTGTGAATTTCCTTTAAAAACGCTAATAATGATTTGTGACTAAAAAGCGGTTCCCTACCGACGAACATTGCAGGGTGTAAAGGTATATGTTGTCGGTAGGGTAGTGGGAAGTGTTGTCTTCTTAGGGTGTCTAAATGATTACATTGAATTAAAACGTGAATAACTGTTAATGCCTCACCACATTTATCACACAATGGTGGATCATCACCAGACAAAAGATGTGTGTGTGTCGTGTATATGTGTCCTATCCTGAGTCTTGTTAGTGTTACCTCTGTTAGACGTGATTTTGATACTGGTGGCCAATGGCCAAGGTGTGGCTTGATAACGTGTAGTTTGTTTTGTGTGTGTGTATCCCACTTGCTCTGCCAGTAGTCCCTGAGGTTTCGTTTGAGAGAGTGCTTCAGATCAAGGACCGGGATTGATATGGATGTAGGGGCAGTGTTTTTGTGGACGGATGCAGCGAGCTGATCCGCCCTCACGTTGCCTTGGATCTCGCGGTGCCCTGGCACCCAGCACACTACAACATGTTGGTTGAGTGTGTAGAGTGTGCAAAATATGGAGTAAAGTGAGACAAGGACAGGGTTTTTTTGTTTTTTAAGACTGTGCAGAGCCGTTACCACACTGAGGGAGTCGGTATAAATTACTGCTTTTTGTATTTGTAATTGTTTAATGTGTTTAGCTGCCACAAGTATCGCGTAAGCTTCCGCTGTGAAGATACTTGTGCCTGGATGTAGAGGGCCAGCATCCGAAAAGGAAGGGCCAACAGCAGCGTAGGACACAGAGGAGTTAGACTTAGAGGCATCTGTAAAAAACTCAGGACGTGTGTATTTGTGTTGAAGTTCCAGGAAATATGTTCGGATATGAGCAATGGGCGCATGTTTTGTAACCTCTAGAAAAGACACATCACAGTCTATAGTCTGCCACTGCCACGGTGGCGGGTACGCTACAGGAGCCATTAAACTGTGTTCGAGTGACACTCCAGTGTCCTCAGCTAGACCCTTCAGGCGAACTGAGAAGGGCTGCCTCATTGAAGGCCTGTTTTGAAAAAGAATGGAGCTCGACAAGTCATTAATAGTAGAGTATGAGGGGTGCCTCTTGTCTGCTTTCACCTTAAGGAAGTATACAAAGGACATGTAGGTTCTTTGCAGATGAAGCGACCACTCATTTGACTCAACATAAAGGCTTTCTACGGGGCTGGTGCGAAAAGCACCCGTAGAAAGGCGGATGCCCAAATGGTGCACGGGGTCCAGCATCTTCAAGGCACTTTGAGTAGCAGACTGATAGACAACGGCCCCATAATCTAAGCGGGTGCGAATGAGGCTTTTATAGAGGTTCATGAGGCATTGCCTATCACTACCCCAGGTAGTACGTGACAACACTTTAATAACATTCATGGCTTTTAAACATTTTGTTTTTAAATACTTGATGTACGGTACGAAGGTCAACTTGTTGTCCAAGATTAAGCCTAAGAATTTATACTCGGCTTTGACAGACAGACGTTGCCCGTTCAGTCGAATGTCAGGTTCCGAGTGCATGCCTCTCTTTCGAGAGAACAAGACACACGTGCTCTTTTGTGGGTTCAGTCGGAATCCGTTTTCCTCTGCCCATTTGGAGACCTTGTTTAAACCTAACTGAACCTGTCGCTCACACATTACCAGATTGCAAGATCTAAAGCCAAGCTGGACATCGTCGACATATGTACAATAAAACATATTGCGAGGGATGGACAAGTGCAAGGAATTCATCTTGATGAGAAAAAGTGTGCAACTAAGCACGCCACCTTGTGGCACGCCTGTTTCCTGGACAAATGTTTGAGAGAGCACACTGCCCAGACGGACACGGAATGTCCGGTTTGACAGGTAGCTCTCGATTATATGAAACATTCTTCCGCGAACACCAAGGTGGGACAGGTCTCTTAGGATTCCAAAACGCCATGTTGTATCATACGCCTTTTCGATATCGAGGAACACAGAGAGAAAATATTGTTTATGGACAAAGGCGTCTCTGATCTGTGCCTCGATACGAACAAGATGGTCTGTGGTGGATCTACTTTCTCGAAACCCGCACTGAAATGGGTCGAGCAAATTGTTTGTTTCAAGGATATGTACAAGTCGGCAGTTTATCATTTTTTCGAATACTTTGCACAAGCAGCTTGTAAGTGCAATAGGCCTATAACTTGAAGCTAAAGAAGGGTCCTTGCCCTCTTTCAAAATGGGAATAATAATAGCCTCTTTCCAGGAGCGAGGGATAGTGCCAGAAAACCAGATAGCATTGTACAAACAAAGTAGGGTTTTTCGTGTTTCGGCTGGTAGGTTTTTTAGCATTTCATACACCACACGGTCAAAACCTGGGGCAGAAGTGCTGCAGGAGTTTAGAGATGTTCGGAGCTCCGCTAGACTGAAAGCTTGGTTATATGCCTCGTATCTAGTGGATTTGTGTTCGAGTTTCTGCTTTTCTATTCTTGTTCTGTATTTTTGGAAAGTGTCAGTATAGTGGGACGAGCTGGATACCCGTTCAAAGTGTGCCCCGAGGAAGTTTGCCTGATCTTCCAAGGTATCCCCTTGAGTGTTTACGAGTGGAAGTGTGTGTACTCGTTTCCCTGCTATCCTACCGACCATGTTCCAGACTTTAGCCTCCTGTGTGTATGAATTGACCCCTGATAAAAACTTCTGCCAGCTTTCTCTTCTGGCCTGCCGACGCGTTCTCCTGCCACGAGATTTATTTTCTTAAAGCTCTCAAGGTTTTCCGCTGTCGGCGAGTTGCGCAGCAACCTCCATGCCCTGTTTTGTTCCTTTCGCGCATTCTGACACTCAGTGTTCCACCACGGGACGTGTCGTTTGCCGGGCAGTCCAGATGTTTGTGGAATGCACTTGGCTGCTGCGTCAGTAAGAAAAGCCGTGAAGTACTGCACAGCTTCATCTATGCCTAATCCGCATATGTCGGTCCAACTTAGGTGTGTAATCTTTTGAAATTGTTCCCAGTCGGCTTTGTTCACCAGCCATTTGGGAACATGTGGAGGATATTCATATGTTATTGGTGTACTCAAAGCTAAAGGAAAATGGTCACTTCCGTATGGGTTATTTATGACTTTCCACTGAAGTAATGGTACAAGTGAAGGAGATGCGATACTGAGGTCTATGGAGGAATAAGTATTGTTTGCAAGGTTATAATATGTTGCCTGTTTTCTATTCAACAGACAAGCACCTGATGAAAAGAGGAACTGTTCAATGAGACGACCTCGTGCATCACATCGACAGTCACCCCATAACCCGCTGTGCGCATTCAGGTCCCCTAGAACCAAATAAGGTTCTGGTAACTCATCTATTAAAGACTGGAAATCATGTTTTTCCAGGCGGTGTTGCGGCGGTATGTATAGAGAGCAGATGGTGACGAGCTTATTCAATAGGACTGCTCGAACAGCCACTGCCTCTAGGGGTGTTAGTAGTGGTAGATGACTGCATGCTACTCCTCGATTAACTATAATGGCTACACCACCAGATGACGCCACAGCATCATCTCTGTCCTTTCGGAAGACAACATATTGACGCAAGAAACTTGTATTCTTGGATTTTAAGTGTGTTTCCTGTACACACAGCACTTTTGGAGAATGTTTGTGTAGAAGTTCTTGGACATCGTCGAGGTTTCGAAGTAGTCCTCTGACGTTCCATTGTATAATTTGTGTCTCCATTATGGGAGTAAAGAAGTGCTGTGTGTACGAAATGAGTGTGGCTGGTGTCTAAAGAGAGAAGTGATTTATCTTACAGAGCCTTTAGAAGGCCCTGTAATTACCGTTTTGTCTTTTTTAGAGCGGTCGAGGGAACCCCGCCGCTCCTTTGGCGCAGTCTGCGCCGGTGCAGTTGAAGTGTCCATCGCCTCAGGAGAGGCGACAGATAATGTTTTCGTTGTAGGCTTCGTCGTAACAGACGGAGCCTTAAACCCCACCGGGCTGGAGGTCGAGGGGACCTCTTTAGTTTGTGTGGTGCCCTGGCTGCTGCTAAGGTTTACAGGAGCCTTCGGTGGGGCTGTATTCAAGGAGGGTGGGGCAGCCGAGGCTGCTCCCCCCATGGGGGCTTGTGGCGTTTGCCTCGGCACGCTAGGCGCGGTCCGGGCAACTGCCAAGGGCCTTTGTGGTGCCGCCCCTCGTTGCACCACTTCGGCAAAAGGTGTTTTTAGTGCTAATGATAACGAGACCCGTTGTCTTGCTTCCCTGAATGTGATATTTTCCTTAACTTTTATAGTGATTATTTCTTTTTCTCTTTTCCAGGCTGGGCACGCTCTGGAGTATGCGGGGTGACTACCTTCACAGTTAGCACAGAGGACCTCGTCATGACTACATTCATCAGCGCTGTGGCCGGTTGTGCCACACTTAGCACACATCAGCTGTCCTCGGCAGCTCTGGGATGCATGACCGAATCGCTGGCATTTGAAACAACGCCTCGGGTTTGGAATGAAAGGTCGGACATGGAGTTTTACATAGCCAGTTTCGAGACTTTCAGGTAAAGTGGTTGAATTGAAGGTGAGTATCAAGTGCTTTGTTGCTATTTCATTGTTGTTACGTCTGATTTTGATGCGCTGGACATGTATCACACCTTGGTCCTTCCATCCATCAAGAAGCTCTTCTTCACTCAGTGTCATCAAGTCTTCGTCCGATACCACGCCCTTCACTGTATTCATAGTACGATGTGCGCTCACCGAGACGGGGATGTTACCAAAGGCTACAAGGTGCGAGAGTTTATTGTACTGTTCTTTGTCTTTTAGTTCGAGAAGCAGATCACCACTTGCCATCTTCGTGGCCTTATAACCGGTTCCAATGGTTTCTCTCAAGCACTTAGCTACAAGGAAGGGTGAGATTGTTCTAGCTTTTGTAGATGATTGTTCGCAGTGGAGAACATGGTATTTTGGAAAAGTTTCTCTGTTTTTGGGCCAAAGTAGTAGAGTTGCGTCGGTGCGTACCCTTTTCGAGGCACGATCAGTTAGAGAGGGGGTCGAGGATCCCATGGGAAAATGTGGATTTTTCGGTAACAGCGCCTACCACCCACCACGGAGTCCAACAAGGGGACGTGGCAGAGCATGTGGGCATGTCTGCGCAACGCCAGCAGTACGCAGTTACTATAACCCAATATGGTTTACCCTAGTTTGGATAGCCACACAAGGTTAACCCTTGCCGCCAGGAAAAATCGGAAGTAAAATGAAGTGAGGAGAAGACAGGAAAGATGTAAAGTGAGAACAAAAGACGAAGATATAGGGAGAGAGAGATAGGAAAAGGCGACTGCCGATTTCCCCTGGGTGGGTCAGCCCAGGGGTGCCGTCTACGTGAAGCCGGGGCCAAAGGGGTGTGTTGCCTCTGCGGGGGGCCTTAAAGGTCCAATCACCCAGCATTGGCTCAACCCCCAGGATCCCCTTTTCCCCGGACACGGCAAAGCCACGCACGGCTAGGCGTGGGAGGGAGCCGAAACTCCCTCGTTAGCTCGGGTCCGTGGTGTCGCTACACACCGAACGCCTACTTGCGCAGGCGCCCCTGCGGGGGTATCCTTGCCCATGCTCTCCCAATTATCTAGTTGGCCCTAAACACACCCACCACTTGTTTGGAAAAACAATGGATTGTTATTTTAAATTCATTAATCAATTTACAGATAATGCTGTCTCTATTTCTGAAACTTAGCAGGAGTGAGTACAGATGCTCAAAACAATGAACAAATAAAATGCAACAAAATACATGATTAAACATTTCCCTTTTCTGTTGCTCAGCACCGAGTCTGTGCAAACACATGGAGTAAATTCTATAAATCCAGAAAAACTTAAGGCAATCAAGAACATATCTGAAGGCCATAATATTCAGGAAATTAAATCATTGCATATGGCGTGCAAAAGCTGCAACAAAAGAAATGGGCACCAGAACACATAAGCCGGTGTGAACTTTTTCATGCAGGAGGATGCAAGATTGCTTTTCAGTTTCTTAGAGCGGCCTCGTTTACTTGGAGAGAAATTTTGAACAGAAATGCAGAACACCAGAGACACAGGCAAAGAAACTGCCAGTTTATTTTTAATTATGTGCTTGAAGGAAACATTTGCTGTAGTGAGGACACTACGGTACTGTTTGTTATTCCAGTGAGAACAAAGCTGGTCAGTGGCACATCTGTAGGGTCAGTACATATTTGTACATAACGTGTTTTTTCTGCGTGGCAAAAATTTTTAGTCTATGCTAGGAGAAGCATAACCATGCCAAACCTTCCAAAATAGAAGACAAAGATGTTTGGCTCAAAATCAAGAACTTGTGCAAGCAGGTTCTCAACCACTTTTTCATTAAAAAAATTTCATACAATGCAGTGTGCAATGTGCTCTACAACATAAAGCAAGCAGGAAATTAACAAATACAACGGACCTACTCACAAGCTTTTAGAGAGTACGATGAAAGCTCTTTCCAAACAAGATTTCGAGCCCTCTGCGCCATTGTACTCTTCTCAAGACTGAATTTTTGGTCATAGCAGCGACCATACTGGCCGCTAACAAATGTGTCTTGTGTGACATCTTCAGCCATGGCCACCAGAAAATCAAAAAACAATGACATCTGTAAAACAGAATACGTATGAACCTGAATATAGGTTTGAGATTGTCTGGACTACTCGACACAGACGATTTAAGAAAAACTGACACAATAATTACATCTCACATTTTTATGTCTGTTTCAATTTCTAAACCAATACACCGCAGTGGGAGAGGTCATGGGGTATGCCAAATCAATTGTGGCCACCGTATATGTATCGTAATAAGAACGCGGGCATAAAGAGGAGAAGCACAAGGACAAGCTCAATTGAGCTCGCCCCAGTGTTGCTTTTCTGTGTCCCCGTCTTCTTGCACAAGCATCATTAAGATAAATATTTTTCAACTAGGCCTACTCACATTATCACTATAGTATCCTTGGGGCACCACACAAGGTATAGTAAGCATGGTTGGTAACTGAAACCTTTTAGGTTTGTTCACAAAGTATTCCTGTACACTGCTAACTTCAATGAATGAACACACAGCAAAACAGATGTACCCTAGCAGCCTCTCACTCCCTCTCTTCCACGCTCACAGCAAGCTGTGAGTGTATGTGTGAGGTTCTTTAGGTGTAATGGACTAATAAATGAGTGACAGTAATGCCTCTAGCTACCTTAATACGTAAGTAGCATGCAATATAGACACCTTAATTAAAGCTGAAATAAGAATATGCCATCACATGTGCTAATACAAAAAAGACACCAACTTGCATTGGCTCAGCACCACTGTCAACCCCCATGTATGTGCAACAGTCCAAAGGGGACATGGTGTGCAGAGCTAGGAGACTCTCGGCCAGCTCAGAAGAAAAAAATACCATTCCAGACACCTGCACAAGAAAAAAAAATTATGCTTTCAGTTTTTGCACACCCAACAAAAAAAACAGGAGACAATATTCTTCAAGGCATATAATAAGTGAAGAATTTCTACATTGTCTGACTGACTGAATAGGTTTACACGAGCTACTGGCACAATTAAAAAGAAATGCCACAGTAGACAACTTTAAATTATTTTGACAATGTGAGTTTGTTTTAACATGATTCTAAAAAAGATGTACACCTGTTGACAAAATGATTCGGAACGTGTGAGCAACGACCGCAATCCGATAAAACTGCATCGCTGCGCCATCAGACATGAAGAGGGCGCATGCTTCTCCTTTTAATTTCGCTGCTTTATATTTTTACTCTCTTGCAGGGTACCAGTGATTATATGTAGCGTTTCGTGCGAGGCGTCACTTTCTTCATTCCATGACGCACTCAGTTCAATGGGGGCACGGTGGCGGTGAAGTGTATGCGACTCGCTGCACCCTGATTAAACAGACAGCATGTCTTGTCTCAGTGGCAAACCAGTGCCACACATGTCATCAAATCTCTTCTCTGCACGTTCGTTTTAGTTGAAGCGTACCATGTGATAGTAAAACACGAACGAGGGCATTGAAAACGATAAGGCGTTGAGCCTAAAGAATGCTTTAGTTTATTAACATAATACAACAAGATGCAGGCAGATCACCTTGCACATGCAACAACAAATGCAAATGGACTAGAAAGAAAAGAAACAAAAAAATGATTGCTGTAATAGGTGAGGTCATGAGTTGGACTTTAAAGAACAGAAAAGGAAAGCAATTGAGGGCGAGTGAAAAATAGCAACGGCAAAACTTATCACTTCCGCTCCCTTCCCCCCCTTTGTAACAAAAATCTAATAGTGCGTGAAGTGACCGTTCACGGAAATTATTTCCTACATCCTTCTTGGTATAGATTTGTATAACGAGACGACATAATTGCCGTCTGACCAAAGGGCCTCCCACTCTTCTTGAATAGTTTTCCACAGTGCATCCAACATTGCCCTGGACAAGTTGCGCCTGTACAGACCCCACTTTATTTGAGCTCCCACATTCTCGATCAGGTTTGCATCTGCGCCACAGGGAGGCCACGGCAAGGTGTGTACGCCAAAGTCTTCAAGCATGGCAGTCACCTGACCAGCCACATGTATCGGGCTTTTGTCCTGCTCGAAGATGAAGCAGCCGTTGAGAAAAGGCCCGTCCAGGGCATATGGGAGTATGGTGTTTTGTAGCAGGTGTAGAGAAGCTTCCGAACACTGAAATTGGTCGAACTCTCAGGTGCCTTCTAGTGGGTCTATCCAAAAAGGATGCCACTCGCGCTGAGAGCCCATGCTTGGCCGTTCCTGTCGCCATTGTGCATGCTCGCTCTGTGCCGGCTAATAAACGCCTTAACAATTTGGTGGAGGGGCTGTGCCTTTCAAGCATCTTCGGTTCGTATTCGATGCCCTTGGAGCTTAGATCCCGTACCGTGCCTTCTACCATGCACCAAGACGCCGCTCAGCAAACGCTTCCTCCTGCGCCGACGCCATGTTCCGGTGTCCCCCGCATCCGCGACCCTCCTGTCTTCACCGGCGCGGATGGCACCGACATCGAGGACTGGCTCGCCATGTACGAACGCGTCAGCGTCCCCAATCATTGGGACGAGGCAGGTAAACTTGGCAACCTGGTTTTCTACCTCGCGGGTGTGGCCAGCATGTAGTATAACAACCACGCATCCGATTTCGCAATCTGGTCCGATTTTAAGACCGCTATCAACAACGTTTTTGGCCGCCCTGCCGTTTGTAAGCTGCAAGCCGAGCAGCGCTTACGCGAACGCGCTCAGCAGGCCGGTGAATCATTCACCAGTTACATTGAAGATGTCCTGGATCTGTGCAAGAAATCGAACGACAGCATATCCGAATCAGACAAGATCCGGAACGTCATAAAGGGCATTGACGATGATGCCTTCACGATGCTGCTTGCCAAAAACCCAGGAACAGTAGCTGAGGTCATCACGCTGTGCCAGAGCTACGAGGAGCTTTGCCGGCAGCGTTCGATGACCCCCCGCTCCACACCACGAGATGCAGGGCTTGGAGGCGAGCTGTGATCAGGTGGCACTTCTGGCAGACCTCAAGTCCTTCATACGTGAGGAAATCGCGTGGCAGTTCTCTCTCCTGCCCTTTGCCCACCCACCGGCTGCTCAACAATCGGCCACTACCATTCTTCCACCCATCCGCCGAGCAATTGAGCAGCAAATAGCGGAGATCATGCCTGCGTACCACCCACCACAGCTTCCGGCCCCTGCACCCCCAAGTTACGCCCAAGTGGGCGCCAGGCCGCCTCCAGTCGTTCAAGCGCCCACCCCACTGACTTACGCCGAAGCTGCCGCATGACCTCCATCCTTTGCAGCGGGTATGCCGGCTACGTATGTTGACGTGACCTCTCAGACTCAGCTCCAGCACCCTTGCAGCATTTCCAGCCACCGTTCCATCCATCGGCCCTTGTGTCATGGACAAGACCTACCCCGGCAAACCGATGGCGCACACCCGACAACCGGCCCATCTGCTTTGCCTGCGGTTACACCAGTCACGTAGCCCGTTATTGCTATCGCGTACAGCCGGCTACAATTTCTTTGTCTGTTGCTGGCCACCTCAGCCGTCCCTATCATGACGAACCGCCGGCTACGCTACCGCCGTCTCGCCCAGGTCCATCTCCTCGAACGTCGCCGTCTCCCCGACGTTGTTCCCTGTCCCCCATGAGGCCAAGTTCGGCTACTCAGAAGCGGGAAAACTAGTCGTCGCAGTCCCCGAGGCAAGGACTGCGATGCTATTGCAATGTGAAAGCCCTCAGAGCCGCCCATCTAATGTCATAGACGTGCTTGTGGACGGTGTTCATGCATCTGCTCTTATTGACACTCGAGGTGCAGTATCCGTTATGGACGAAAACTTTTGCCGCTTGCTTCGAAAAGTGACGACGCCAATTTCTGGGTTGTCCCTTCGTACTGCCGGTTCGCATCGTATCCATCCTACAGCAGAGTGCACAGCTCGCGTTGTTGTTCAGGACGTTCTGTATGTCGGCCAATTCATCACCATTCCTGCATGCTCTCATGACGTCATCCTGGGGTGGGACTTTCTCTCCCGCAACGACGCCGTCATCCATTGTGCCGCTGCCAAACTTGAACACTCACCCTTCTCGCATTTGACGCCGGAAGACAGTCCCTCGGAACTGAGCAAGATTGTTGTGAAAGACGATACCGTAGTGCCTCCTAGCTCGACGATGGGTGTATCTGTCTACTGCGCTGGACTCTCCGACACAATTGAACTCGTTTCGCCTTCCGACCGTGCTTGCCGAAGGAAAGGGTTGCTAGTACTTTTTGCTACCGTGCAAATCACCCAGGGCAACGCCGCTATTTTCGTGACCGACCCATCCCCGTACACTGTTACCTTGGTTCGAGGGGAATGTCTCGGCAGAGTGGAACCAGTGGATAATGCACAAGTCCTGGACGTACCTGATGACTCGCGTTGTCCTGATTCGCGTACCATCAGTGTTGTTCCCACTTCTGATTCATCATCTCCTGATGTATTCGGCCCCTACATTGATGACAACCTTACGTCGGTACAGCGTTCATAGCTTCTGGACCTGTTGCGAGAATATCGTTCTTCTTTCGATGTCGGCCGAAGTTCTCTCGGTCGCGGGTCCACTGTTACGCATCGTATCAACACTGGTGCCCATCCACCATTACGGCAACGTCCCTACCGCGTGTCGCCTGCTGAACGTCGGGAAATTAACGAGCAGGTTGATGATATGCTCAATTGCGACGTTATTCGGCCCTCGGACAGTCTATGGGCGTCTCCTGTTGTTTTTGTTGCGAAGAAAGATGGTTCTGTGCGGTTCTGTGTGGACTACAGAGGGCTCAATACGATCACTCGCAAGGATGTTTACCCACTGCCGCGCATCGCTGACGCAATTGACAGCCTTCACGGAGCCGAATTTTTTTCTTCTCTCGATCTGCGCTCGGGGTACTGGCAAGTACCCATGGCTGATGACGCTCGACCGAAGACTGCGTTCATCACACCCTACGGCTTGTACGAATTCAACGTCATGCCATTTGGTCTATGTGATGCACCTGCGACCTTTGAGCGCATGATGGACACCGTTCTGCGCAACTTGAAATGGCACACGTGCTTGTGTTACCTCGATGACGTTGTTGTGTTCGCTCCAGATTTCTCCACGCATCTCCAACGTCTGAAAGAAGTTTTCGCACGTGTGAGCAATGCCGGCTTGCAACTAAATCTGAAAAAGTGCCGCTTTGCAGCACGGCAACTCACCATCCTAGGGTACGTCGTGTCCAAGGATGGCATTCTTCCTGATCCAGCCAAGCTTCGGGCCGTGGCCGAATTCCCCACACCTGCATCCGTCAATGAACTGTGTAGTTTCGTGGGCCTGTGCTCATACTTCTGACACTTAATACGAAACTTTGCCACGATTATATCACCGCTGACGAAGCTCCTTGGAAGTAACGGGCCCCTCAATTCGTGGTCGTCTGAGTGCGACGACGCGTTCGCGAAGCTCCGCCATTTGTTGACGTCTCCTCCCATTCTACGCCACCATGACTTTACGGCTCCAACGGAGGTGCACACAGATGCCAGCGGTGAAGGCCTCGGTGCTGTGCTGGGGCAGCGCAAACCCGGATTCCCTGAATATGCCGTAGCATATGCAAGCCGTACGCTCACGAGAGCCGAGACAAACTACACTGTCACGGAGAAAGAGTGCCTGGAGATCGTCTGGGCTCTTACAAAGTTTTGACCTTATTTGTATGGTCGCCCATTCGATGTCGTCACCGACCATCATGCACTATGCTGGCTTTCATCATTGAAGGATCCCTCAGGCCGTCTCGCCCGTTGGGCTCTTCGCTTACAAGACTATGACATCCGCGTGCTGTACCGCAACGGACGCCAGCATGCTGACGCCGACGCGCTCTCACGCTCCCCTCTGCCTGAAGGTGATGTGCT